CATGGGATCACAGAAGGCGCCCTTGTCTTAAAACGGGACTTCCGACCTGACGCCCGTGAAGGGAAGCTGGCACCAAAATGGAAAGGCCCATATCGAGTCCGAGAGATGGTAGGACCCAGCACGTTCAAGTTGGAACATATTGATGGTCGTGCGGTGAAACGAACATGGAATGCCCAAAACCTGCGATCTTACTCGGCGGGCACCACATCTGAAAACGACGCCTCGATTTGAGATGGAGCTCTGAAAGTGTTTGTTTTGTGTTAAGACAAGTATGCAGGTCTGTTTGTGTTGTGACCAAAGCGCCCGAAAAACAGCGCCGTATTGTGACTAAAGCGCCCATTCTATAGCGCCCCAATAGTGATTTTGTGTTCGGTTTACTGAGTTAACTAAAGCGCCACATTTCGCGCCCATATTGTGCAAAGCGCCCTAACATTGCGCCCTCATGAAAAACGTAAACGCGCCCAACTTTGCGCCCGAAACCACACAGTGGTCTCAAGTCATACACCCATAAAAGCAGTTAAGTCGAAAGATGGCAAAAGTGACGTCAAAAGATGGCGAAAGTGGTGCAGGAGTCTTTATAAAAATAAAATAAAATAAAAAAAAACAAAGGTTCAAAAACAGAGTACAAATAATACAACTGTTAAAGAAAGGCGCCTAAACCCTACTCCGCCCCTGAGTTGGCATCTTTCGCACCGGGCGCCTTCTGAGAAGGAGATGCTTGCACCGACGCCCCGGGCGTCCCTCCCGTACCGCGGGGAGTCTCCAGGCTCCCAATCACATACTCGGCCATCTCCGAGAGATCCCAAGTATGTTCGGGATGATCCTGCTGCAGCTTCACCTTCAGAACTTCAAGCCCAGTCAGGATGGCATTGGCGCACATCCCCTTACCAGTCTCCGACTCCTCAAAGTTGTCCAAGGAACGCCTCAAGTCGGAAATTTCTTCGCGTGCTGCTTTCAAGGATTTTTTAGTCTCCTTGTGGGCGTCCTTCAACCTTTTCTTCTCCTCTTTGAGGATGTCGATCTCACTGGCTTGGGCGCTTACCTCCTGCGCCAACGCCTCCTTTTCAGCGTGAAGGTTGGCCAGCTTCCTCTGCTCCTCGTCCAGGGCGCCCTGAAGCCGCGACACCTCCAAGGTCGCCGTCATCTGGGCGTCCTCGCACTCTTCCGCAAACTGCTCGCGGCGTGCAGTTGCGTTCTCCAAGTCCAGCTTCAGCTGGGAGGCAGAAGAAGACGCCTCCAGCGCCTCCCGCTTGGTCTCGTTGAGGCGTCGGGCGCCTTTTTCAGCAAAGAGCAGGATCTGCAACAGTTAGAAAGAAGCCAGCGAGTTGTAACAAATACCAAACCATTCCCTTAACTTTCAGAAAACAGAAGTAAGAAAGCGTGTACCTTGGCGCCCACTTGGGCCAGCTCAGCAAAGAGGTGATCACCGTTCACCTCGGACGGCACCTGCCATGACTTGGCAGCCGCAATAGCCAAGCCCATGGCGCACCCTCGGTCGACTGCCACCAAGGGGGAACAGTTCATGTTGACGCGCCCCACATCGGCACGCCGGGGGTCGGAAAATGGGTGGACGCCCATCGGGACCAACGTAGCGCCCCTCTTCGTTGAGGTGTAAATGGGCGTCCTCCCCCGGCTCCACCTCCACCTCCACCTCTTCGTAGGCGTCATCGTCGACGCCCACTTTCCTCTTGCCTCTATCGGCCCTCTTGCTGGCCGAGGCTAAAGGGGAACCAGCCCTCTTCCCCCCCTTTCGGAGCAGCGGCTCCTCTTCTTCTTCCTCAGCGGAGTTGACCTCTTGCTCCGCAGGGTCGGAGTTAGGCGCCCCCTCGCCTTCCTCCGGGGCAGAAGACGCCACGCTGGCAGTCTTCGCACGGGCGGTGCCCCCCTTCACGGCCCTCTTCTTCTTCTTCTTCTTCGGGGGAACAGTCGGCGGCCGGTCCGGGCGCCTCTGGTTGAACCGGCGGCTGTGAACCTGCTGCCAGCGCAGCAAGCCGACTTCTCATCAGCTTGGCGATACTGGCGTAGTCCGCCCCTGCGCAATGGAGTGAACATGGTTAGTTAAAACACAAGGAAAACACAACATCAAAAGCAAGTAAATCCTAGGCGCCTACAGACCATCATTATAGTACGCCTGAATTATGGGAGGACGATTCTCCGTTGGACGTAAGTCCACACTTTCCCCCGCACAAATCAGGCGGGCGTCATCTTTCTCCGCCGGAGACAATGATACGGGCGAATTGAATCGCTCAACATCGCCCAACTGCCACTGCCTAAGAAAGGCGCCCCCACTCTCGTAAAACGAATCTTGATACGCCTTCATAAAAAAGAAGCCGTTGAACCATTTTCGGTTGAGTTTGGGGCATCGTTTCACGAAATGGTTCGGGCGCTTCTTTCGCTTCTGAAGCGATAAACAGTTGTCGAGGGGCGCCATCTTGAAAAAGTACCTAAACAAATTGAAGGTGGGCTCCACGTTATTCTCTCGACACCTCAACTTGAAGAGGATCACGATGGTGATGACGGAGGGGGATAGGCGCCCCAATGAACAGCCAAAAGTTGTCAGAATCCCCTCCATGATGTGGTCGAGGGGGAAATGCAGACCAAACCGGAAGTACTCCTGGTACACCACGATCCATTTGGGCCCGCAGACGCCCACACGGGAGATAGGTGAAGGAGGCGCATACCACCAGTCCCGCGGCAGCTGCAGACTCGTAACAAGTTCGTGGACGCGCGCCAACGTAACTGATGACTGATGATTCGGCCCGGCCACATCGAACGGCAAATGGGCCGTCTCCGTCGGTAGGTGGTCCGGGGGGAAGCATTTCTCCCAGGTTGTGATTTTATACCATCCATCCGCTGGCATAAATCCGGGCACCGATGATGTGGATGGTCCGGTCGACGTCGATGCAGGCGCACACTCTAAACCAACAAACGATCCAGGCGCAACGGGGACGAGGGGTAAGTGGCGCCCTATCCTAAGTAACTAGAATTAACTAAGCAAAAATAAGGAAAGACAAAGGATTTCTTACCGCCTTGAGTCGGACGCCTTTGCCCGCCACCGACGCCAGAGGCGCCTGCGCCTGAAGCACCAGACGCACCTGCATCCTGGGCGCCTTGATCGGCAGTTTTATCTTTTGGTGAGGACGACATGATGGACGAATACGAGAGTCGAGGATTACGCAAGCAAAGTCTGACATGAGAGAGGACAGAGCGAAGCGTAGAGTGATGTCAGAACGAAATCTAGAGAGAGGTCAAATGGAAGAAAGTGACAAGAAGGGAAGAAGGAGGAGGTATTTATAGGGGGCGACAAGTCCAGGTCAAGGGTCGCGCCAACATGCCACGTGTCAGTGTCACGGGCCGACTTTTGAGCTTCCCCCACTTTCCCCTCCCAGGAACTTTCGAAATTTCCCATTTCGAATTTTTCCAATCTTCGTATTTGAAATTTCGAATTTTCCCGCCACGCGAAATGTGGGGTTCATTTCAAAACTCTCCCCGTGAGGGGGGCACAAGGGCAAGGGACGCCCGAACGGAGAGTACCATCAAAAGGCGCCCACGAAGCACGAAGAAGAAATGCACATAGCGAGGGGCATCATCGAGAACGGGACGCCCGCCAGTGGAAGGAATGGGCAACAGCGCCCCCGAGCCGGAAGAAGAGACAGAGACGCCACATGGGCGCCTGGCAGTGGGCGCCCCACAACATGAGGAACACCAAAACCGCAACAAGAGAGTCAGCTAGGCGCTCAAAGGTGAAACCATGAGCACCTAACTGGGGGGGCAATTGTTGGGGGTAGAATGAGCGGTCTTGGGGACTTGGGCTCCCAGAATTAAGGAATTGGGGGGCAAGGCCCGAAAAAGGATCCACCAGAAGCCCTTGGGCCAAGAGATAAGGGGAAGGGCCCAAAGAATAAAGCACTAAAAGCCAAAAGGAAACCAGCTGTCGGGGGGACCATTACCTGCGGGCGCCTGTCGTGTGTCAGGAGCCTGACAAGGCTGTTGGATGTCTCACAATGGGGACGCAGAGCATTACATGAGGGCAGTGACGTGGAGGAGATCAACCTCGGGTTCGGTGAGTATAAATAGGGGCAGTTGATAGCATTTATACAGGTTGGTCTCTCTCTCACTAAAACAGTACTTGAGAACTCTATTCACTCCGAGAAACTAACTTGGGCGTCGGAGGATTAACGGGCCGAGGCGCCCTCCTCTTTGTGTGTGTAGGACGACGCCAGGCGAAGAGAGACGCCCGAACTGAGAAGGGGGTATAGTGGCTCAAACAGTCGTCACTTCCCGTCCCGTTCTTGGGAGCTTCCTGTCGGTGTAGTCCCCATCCCCGTAGAGCTCACCACTCGACATCGTCATCGTCTGTCTCACCTACTCCAGCGCGTCTCCCCGGCTCCAACGCATCTCCCCTGCTCCGGCCGTTTCTCCTCCGCACCATCTCCCACCGACGGTCTTTACTCTTCAGCTCCCACCGACCGTCTCTACTCCAGCGCATCTCCCACCAGCAGTCTCACCTCCGCATCATCTCCCACCGGTCTCTGCTTTGCTCGACACAAGGTGAATTAATTGACTAATTGTGCGGCTGCTTCCAATAATTCATAATAGTAATTTAACATTGAACCAGGAAGTCATTGATTCAATTGACATTTTATTTTAATGTATGATTTGGTAGAGAATCAACCTACTGCTTCCACTGATTCAATTAATCTTTTGTAGATGAGTAATTTAGTCATGTTTTACCATGATTAAGAAGTGTCTACCATTTATACTTATTGTTTATTAGATTTCGGTTCTCTAACGGTTTTTAAACGGTCTAATGTCGGTTGTACCGCTAAAGACCGAGTCATTCACATTATCGGGTCGTATTCCGATTCACTTTTGACGACATCCGAAGAACGGCAAGTGCTTTTGAGTCGTGTCGTGTGACACTGTTTTTGTCCATGAACTCAGATCCTTTGGGCCGTTTTGTCGCAGATGTGGGTTCCCCGAAAACGAAGCCAGCCCAAGTAGCGAGCCCAGTTTAAATGGGTCAGTCCAAATAACAAGAAGATCCATATCGGAAAAGGAAAATGCAAAAGAACGGCGAGCCTGACTTTTATTTTTATCCCCGATGGCTAGCAAATGAAATTTTATCGCCAACCAAACACACCCAAAAGGATTTTCCAGATTTCTAAAATTCAAGCCATTAGAACCGAAAAAAACAGTTTCAGTTTACCGCACAATCATTGCCTAGAGCAAGGAGCTCCCCGCTTGACTTCACTCAGCATTGAGTTGCTGGTTCGCGAGAGCTTAATTTGACTCTTTTTGGGGGTAATGGGTCGTTCTCGCGGGAATTTCCAATCTGCGGATGAAGACCCCACCCAGAGGTTTGCTTCTACTCCTTCTCCGCTGCAAATTTATCTGGGAAATTGCTTCCCCTTTCCTGCCTGCTTCAATTTTTGCACTCAAAGGTTTGAGCTTTGCTTCGGGGTTCAACCCTGGTGCCAACAATCATACAGAAAATGTTTGGCCTTTGCTTTCGTTCTGATTCGGTGTGGAAATGCAATTGTAGCTTCAAATGATTTAGTTGGAAGGAGTAGGGAATTCGTGAAATGGGTTTGTGTGTAATTGTGGAAGTTGAAGCTGATGTAATGAACTTGCTTGACTATTGTTGCAATGTAACTGCACCTACCTTGCTTCTATGTTGAACTTGTTAGAATTGGCTTTCGTTTGCTCAACTGTGAATTTGTGATGTATTATGGGTCTCCATTTGGTTTTCTGTTCTTCCCCTTTATTCATTATGGGAAAATATGTGGTCTTTTACCTTAATGCGTCGCCTCTTGAGTTTTCTACGGTTTCTGTGCAGATCAAGGAGGAAAAAGAATGCTTCTACTGGTGAGAATCTAGAATCCACCTCTGCAGGTATATAATCATCATTGCATAGCAGTGTGATAACAAGGTGAACAAATACAACCAACGACTCAGAATTGGGGGGAGGGGGAGGTGGGGGTGGGAGAAGTTATCATGATTCTTACATAACATGTCCAAGTTAAAACTATGACTATATATCCAAGTTGATCTAAGGAGCTTACCAGCATTGCTCGTGCAAATTTTTGCAACCTTGGGATTCCCTAATGAGGGGGTTCAAGAACGTATTTTGTTTGAGTATGGTTGCTTAGCTTATGCTGGTGTAATACATATCCTTTTTCGGGGTCCGGTTGGGAGCTATTGATGGTAATGTGAATCATTATGTTTGTTTTTTCCTTGATATGCATTTCCTTTTAGCTTATCTATACCTTTTTCCGTATCCCATTTGGGGATCAGGGCAAGGTGCTGGTGATGGGAAGAAGGCCTTGTACCATTGTAACTACTGCAACAAAGACATAACCGGGAAGATCCGTATCAAGTGTGCTATGTGCCCTGATTTCGATCTATGTATAGAGTGCTTCTCTGTTGGAGCTGAGATGCAACCTCATAAGAGCAGTCACCCTTATAGGGTTATGGTTAGTGATAACAAGTTTCTTAGCAACAAATGACTATATATCATATGCTGCTCTTAAACTTAATCCCACTGGTTTTCCTTATACAATAATGAGGACAAAGGCATATTTTTGAACAAGTTAATTTTTAAATGCTGACCGTCTGCCATTCTGGATCAAACTACAGGAATTTGTCTTTCCCACTTATTTGCCCTGACTGGAATGCTGATGATGAAATTCTGCTTGGAGGTTCAGTGTCAATTGAGTTTGCTCTTGTTTGATACCATTCTTGTATTTTAACTTTACTTTTATACGTTACTAATAACGTATGATCTCTGGTCCATGGGATTTACTCAAATATTAGGGGATTGAAATGTATGGCATGGGCAACTGGACTGAAATTGCTGAGCATGTAGGGACAAAGAGCAAAGACGTTTGCATTGAGCACTATAATAATGTTTATATGAACTCCCCATACTTCCCTCTTCCGTATTGCCCATTTTGAATATTCTGAATTCTACTTCTTTAGTAGCATGTGTTACTTGATGCTGAACAATCTACTTTTGCAGGACATGTCTCATGTTGTTGGGAAGAATCGAAAGGAGCTTCTTGCTATGGCAAAAGGATCATCCATGCACGGGGAGCACATTTTGAAGGAAGATTCTCCATTTTCTCCATCCAGAGTCAAGTATGATTTATTTTCTTGTCTCTGTACTTGCATTACCTTTAATCGGTTGCCCTGACTAATGCCACTTTTTCTTGTTCATTCAGAATCGAAGGTGGTTCCTCTGGCCGTTTACTGTCTCCATTAAACACTGGTGATTTAGTATACATGACAAACTAATCCTATTCTGTCTGAATCGTATTCAAACTCCTTGTGAATGAGATTAACTCTTCTAAACTGGTGCTCTTTCAGATATGGAATCAGGAGGGCGTCCTAATAATGCAAATGCATCAAAGACTGCTGTTAAAAAGGCATCTGGTATTGCCCGGGCTAAAGATAGCCCGAATAATGTAAAGTCGAAGGTCTGAGTTGCTCTATTTGTGATTTTGTTATACGGTAAAATGATGAGGATGCAGCTTTAGGATCAAGAAACAGTACTGTTGACTTATTAACTCTTATGCAGATCCTCATATAGAAAGGAGTTCCAAGGGAAAGAAACCAAATTGTCCAGTTGATGGTCCATCCCTACTTGATTTGAGTGGTTATAACACAAAAAGGCAAGAGTTTGACCCAGCATACGACAATGATGCTGAGCAGTTGCTCGCAGAGATGGAGTTCAAAGAGAATGACACTGAGGAGGAGCGTGAAATCAAGGTTCGGGTCTTGCGTATTTATGGGAAGAGGTAAAACATTATTATGCTCAGATAGAGTTCGAAGAAACTACTTGGTTTCTGCCGCTTATGTATAGTGTGTGCTTCAATTCAACATTTGAGAGCTAGTTTTGATTGGCAGGCTTGATGAGAGGAAGCGGCGGAAGGATTTCATATTGGAGAGAAACTTACTGTATCCTAATCCTTTTGAGAAGGACTTATCTCCTGAGGAGAGGGCAATTTGTCGACGTTATGACATTTTCATGAGATTTCATTCAAAGGAAGAACACGAGGAACTGCTCCGGACAGTCATCACAGAGCACCGAACTCTCAGAAGAATTCAAGAACTCAAGGTACATTGCTCACCCTTGCCTTCAATTGAATCTAAATATCCCATTAAGCACATCGACATGAAATGATGTCGCAGGAAGCACGTGCTGCTGGCTGTCGGACTTCAATCGAGGCGGATCGATACCTTGACCACAAACGGAAAAGGGAAGCGGAAGATAGTTCTCGTCGGGTCAAAGAAGGGGGGTCAGCTTGTTCCGAATGTCGTAATCGCTTCAGAATCAGTTGGCAAGGACTCACACTTGAAAGGGTCGTCGAGCTATAATGTCAACGAGCTGGATATCACGGCGTTGTTTGACACCCAGTTGCTATCTGAAGCTGTAAGTTATCTAAGAACATGGATAATAGGGGTGTGCATGGTCTAGGGTGGTCCAGAATCACGTAGACTCAGCATAGGATCCGATAAAAAATGAAGGGAAAATGAGGTTCAGTTCAATTCACACCCCTAGATAACACACATGTTTATGGTTTTAGCTGGTTTGTGAAACTGCCTTGTTTGGATGCATTTTGACAGGAGAAGCGGTTATGCTACGAGATCAGGCTGCCACCACCTCTTTATCTGCAAATGCAAGAGGTGATGACAAAAGAGATCTTCGGTGGGAATGTTTCGAAGAAATCCGATGCTCATTCATTGTTCAAGATCGACGCCAACAAGGTGGATAGAGTGTATGATGTTCTTGTTAAGAAAGGGATAGCACAACCATGAAAATGGGGAATGAAAAAGAAGCAAATCACTTCATTTCATTCTTAAGTTCTGATTTCTTGTATTGTAATTTAGGCATAACATGATAGATATAGGCTAGAATGAAACTTGGGTAGAGCTCATTTTCCTTTATGTTAGCTGCAGATGGTTGCAACTCGGAATTACCTAAAGGGGTTCTGTATAAATGCAACCATCCACTCTACCAAAAATGAGAAAGAAAGGCAAAAAGCACTGAACTTCTATTTCTTTCACCATGAGAAAGTACTGAAATCCTAACACAGCTTTACAGTCAGAACCTGAGCTTTTGCACAAGTAAACCTGTATAGAACCAAAATGTTATTTGGTATATCACAAAACATAAGGCTAGTTTTGAGGATAATTGGAAACAGCTCCAACTGCTATAGTCTAAAACTTCCAATTACTTAGTGACGGGTTAACGCTAAACGGTATATATATGTTGATCTCAGAATGCTTTACTACAGGTGCAACATGCTCTACTGTTATATACACCAACAGGGGCACCCCAAACGTTCACCTATGATCAAAATTTCTACACTGTCAAGGGACTTAAGCAGCTTTGCTAACGAAGTTGTCTTTGTGATCCACTGCATCCTTACTCACACGAATCACCTCCAGATTCTGCATCTCATCCGACAGGGGGTGAAGAACTTGGGAATCTTTCTCTCTCTTGTTCACTGATAACTGGAACAACCTTCTGCTCCAAATATCGAGCATCTCCACCAGAGTCAGAAGTCTTGAGTCTACCATTGCAGCCCATATTCAAAGATAGATAATCAACTATATCTGTCTTTGCTTCACGTCAACCCATCGTTTCTCCACCCAGTCCCTGGAGATTCTGACATGCTTCCGACCAACACTCAGCGACCTGCCTTCACCTAATCAGTTAAATCCCAGTTTTTCATCAGCTAAATGAATGTAGAAGGGAATCTAGATGTAGAAAGGGTCTGCTTTCTTTCATATATATATATATGTGACTACTTCGGTGCACTCACAAAAATGAGTGCGTTCAATGCACCCAACTCAAAAACTAGTCTTAATGTGTCGGATTTTGAATTTTAATTTGTAGAATTAGTGTAATATGATGATATAACATATGATAACAACTAATTAGCGGATTACCCTAAGCTCTAGACCTCCAATTTTGAGTTCTATCCCTAAATCCCAAATTATAAACCCTAACCCTAACCCTAAATCTCTAAACTCTAAATCCTTCAAATTAAAGTAAATCTTTAATGATTTTTGTGCAAATTCATGTGCGTTATTATTCATCACATCATAAGTGATGATTGACATCATTTTAACATAAATAGCATGTTTAAAATAACGGTTATGAAGTGAGTTCACTGAATGCACCCAAAAAAGTGAGTGCACCGAAGACGCCACCATATAATATATATACCAGGTAAGTAAACTTGCAGACGGTCATTTCCCGCTGCAGAAACAACACCTTCCCACCAGCCGTCACACCACCATGCATCAATTGGCGCTCCAACCTCAAAAGTAGAGTTCCTGAGATCAACAGGGAGGAGGCGGGCGAACTGTTTGGCGGCCAACATGTCTTATACCCAACTTATCCGGAGCAGCCACTTTAGTAGCAGGGACCCATTCCTGTTGACAAAAACAAAAACAAGAAAAAGAAAATGACAGATCATTCCTAAGCCAATATCAGACATTCTACAAAGCCCGCATCAATGTCTGATCCAGATTATCATGTCAACTCACGAAAAAGTCAGTCAGATCATCTGATTGGTTACTGTAGGAAGGAATTATAGCAGCCTTGGGCAATGCGGTTGAAATTGGGTCAAGTAACAAGTTTGGCATGTGAGGATTGAAACGGGTTGTCCATGTCAGTTAATTAAGGTTTTTGACTTCTTTATTGTATGTGAATTGACACTCTAGTTTGGACAATTTTAGATGGAAAACTTGATTGAGATGGTCCAAGTGGCTATCATGTAAGTTATTCGAAAGAAATCTGTTACAGGTTCCATTAGAGAAATGTACCTCTAGATTGCTAAGGTGTCAAGACAGTCGCCGAGCTGTCGATACACTCTGCGCTGATGACCTGGACATTAGACGTTATGACGACTTCTCTGGGATGAGGGTTTAGCTGAGGGAATCAGAGTGTTGACTTCCTCACTGCGGTAGAACCAGCGAACCTTCACCTTTTTCTTGCCTTTCCTATCCTCGTACATATCTTCTAAGTAGCCAAGGTAGTGCTGTTCCTCTTCAGCCAAGATGAACACAAATGAATGCACCTAGAGGAAAAAAAAAGAAAAGTAATGGACGGATATAAACCACTACAGAAACTGTTTGTAACTTAAAATTGAAAAAACAGAGTGACTTTATGACTACATACCGGTATAGCAGTGCCGTTCCTTGTCAAAAGTGGGTAAGGCTTCAGCTGTTTAGCACAGATCAAATCAACACCAGACCAATCGATGCTTGCTTTTTCGACTTTTGGTCTTCTCTGAGCCTGCATCATGATGAAGAATTTGATGCAATGCTTAGAAAGTATGTTAAATAGACGCAGGAAAAGCAGTATCAGGTTTCTTACCACATGCTCTGGCAAATAAGTATTGAACGGAGCCAATCCGGTAACAGCCTCAAGAGATCCCAAGCTGTCGGTGGAGTCTTTTATATCAACACCCGCAACAGAAGTTCAGTCATACACACGATTCTTTTTTTTATGTGCGAAACAGACAAGGAACTCACTACAACAGGGTAAGAAAATAAATCTTTCCTGAAAGATAACAACCACCACTCAAGAATCAGATTTTAATGAGCCAAACATTCACAGGCCAAAACTGAGTAAAATCTCAAAACTCAGAGTGGTAGAGTTAGAGGTTCCAGCATATTAAGTTGAATTATATAACAGAAGGCAACATATCTAAGCTAAGCTGATTCACATAGGCAATTATGCTATATGACGAAAAACCCAACGCAGCTAATCTCCATTTAGCCTAGTCATTGCCTCTACACCATTGATGATAGCCGAATGTCCATTTTCACTTTTCAACAGAGCACTTCAGGTCACCTTTCCAAGTATTCCATTACTGAAAATCGTAATTAAGGTTTACAACATCAAGGCAGACAGCCTCTTGCTATCATAATAAATAAAAACGGGTTTCCGCTGATAGTGCTGGCCCTACTTCATTAACTAAGACGATGAAGACATAACACATGAGGGGGAAAACTAACATCTGGTGGTTGTATACAGATCTGGAAGTTCTAACCAAGAGGGCCAAGATCTGAATGCAATTAGAAGAAGGCTGAACTAATTACTGAGAGGCATGAGCCATCATAGATCCAAACAAAAAGTTTCAACAAGAGGGATTCCTTTTACCTGCCACCATGTTAACCCCAAATTGATGTCTACAGTCTTTAGCTTTACCACGAAGCATAAGCTAGAAGAACAATCTAGATCGCCCTCACAACTCTGGAGGGTTTGTAATCAACCCACACACTAAGCCTACCCACTAGAGTGACAGAGCATATATAATCGCTCTTCCCTGGTCCTCTACGTGTACACATTCATGTGCGGGACGTGCATGTAATATACGTGGCGCAAAAAATCTGATAGGATCATGTGGTGTTCAAAATAATATCAGGTTTAAGAACTAGATACAGTGAATGTGGACCTTCAAAGCACATTTATCATACTGCAAACTAGAATACAGTTCTATGATTTGAGTAATATGATAAATTATGTTTTCCTAAATTGAAGAGAGATGGGGAAAAATCAACGTTTTGCCGTAGTAAATTTTAAATAGAATTCAGATTTAGTCAAGACTACTTGCATCACAGTTGTAATTTCCATATTGTTCAAATGGAGACTTAAAAGGGAAAACATAGATAGCTTTCTTTTTCGGAAGAGAACCACGGTTATCCAACTAAGGAAAAAATATCATCTGTGACATTATAGAAAGACAAACAAACAATGGGATTGAGACACGTGATGCATAATCGTTGGAATTCAGGTCACATTGAACAACACTCTGCGTAGACAGGTATTAACTGGAAAAGCATATGGATACAGATTATCTAGGCATTTGAATATGAATTTAAAGCTCTTCAAAGTCTATATAGTATCGTTATAACATTATGGGAAATCATGAACTCTCCATATCTAATTCAATTGAAACAATGTCATTCTAACTTTAACAATCCCTGACACTAGTTTTCAACCATAGTATAATCAACTGAAAGTTGACAAGTAAGAATTCCATATTACTACTAAGTGTTAACAACTACAACAATGCAAGTTAAATAATGTATAGCATTACTTCCTATCACTGTACTTCGAGTAAGTAACTATGTGTTCGTTTTTTCCTCGATACTTATTTCGAAATCACAATGCCAACTCCCAAGGGAAGTGCATCTACAACTAACACACAAGGTACATTAACATGACCAAGAGAAGTAGATTCAGCTACCAAATGGAGCTTTTCAACATCACTAACAATTATGCAGACTCTTCCTCTATATTCTTGACCCTAATGCAAAATCTTTCTCCAGAATACTATAGCATAAGTCTATCATAACCAAACACATAAAACTGCTACCGAAATCTGTTAAGGCGTGCAAGGAAGGAGCAGGTTCTACACATGCTTTTTGAAATTTCTAAATTAGGATGGTATCACAAAAACCATACACCAAAAACTAAATCACGAAAGCAAACAACGATTCAAACCCTTAGCTACTATTCATATCACGAAAAAGACAAGTCGTGAGGCTACTAAGATATCAATCCGCATACCTGCAACACCTTGATCCCTGGATACCATGGCGGCAAGCCAGTCCACAACTTCTCGTCTCGCTCTCCATTTCGTGGAGGCACTGATGCCAAAATCAGACCCATAAGCAACCAAGAACCCATCGCAAACAACGTATATCATATGCCTTATGCTCCGCTCAGTCCCTATCACAGCTAACAGGGACTGCCCCAAAGCATTCTTCAAGTAATAGTGAACCACTCGGTTCCCACGCTCATGGCAAATAATGTGTTCTTTCCAATTCCACAAAACTAACATTACGACTCACAACCATCTTTCAACTAAGAATAGAGATTCCCCAACAGCCGCCAAACCTGAGACATACAAAATTCAATCCCAATTCAACAAAACCGGTTTTACTAAAACCCTTCTATATCATTTGCAAAATCCGAAGAAGAAAGGAGAGAAGAACTCACCTTAGCAATGGAATCCACATTCAAAACTGTCCCACTTCTCCTATAGACCAACCAGGTGGCAAAATTGAGGGATGTAAAGAGAGCCCTGCTCAGCTGGAAGAAAAGACAACTCTTTTGGGTTTTTTCCCCCTAATGTGGCTTTTCAGGCTAATGCGAGTTGAATGGGTAGAAAAAGAAAGCTTCAAGCTTTTTCTTCAATTGAGAAGGCTTCTTGTTTTGTCTAGTCCTGTCGTTGTCATGCAATCCAGAAGACAACAGGAGTGTGGCGTGCAGCGAGGAATTCTGTGAATAGAAGCGAGAGAATATGCGAGACAGGTGGAGAAAGAAACGGAAAGGGAATAGGTTTTTCTTGGGGTTTTGGAGAGACTTGAAAGAAGGCAGAGGAGCCCATGAAAGGTTGGGGAAAGAAAACAACCTGAGCTGCTGCGGCGGTGGTGGGAGAGTGGGAAAAAAGGAAGGGAAAGAAAGAAAGCGGGAGAAGGGAAATTATGGCGAAATTGTGAGGGCGGAAAGGTAATTTTGCCATAAGATTAAGCGTAAAAAAGCAAAAAAATTAAATAACGAACTACTGCGGGAAAATGGATTAGGGGAAAAAAATAATTAGACCAAGAGGGGATAAATAAAGGGCAATCTCGTAACTGAGCAAAATGAAGGGGATGTAAAGTAAGCATAAAATACTCATGGAGAGGGCCAAATCGCGGGTATTGCTATTTGTCGCCCTAAAACACCTTATTCGCCGCCCTAACTTTTAGTAAAATGACTCAAATATTCTTAGCTTAATTTGTGTTTTTCAAACGAATAAACACTAAAACAAACACATACAACTATACTAATAACAAAATAAAATATAAAAAAAACAAATTAATGAATTACAAGTGACAATTATGGTATCTGGTTTTGTTCCGGAAAACTCCATCTCATGAAAAAGATTCCACGCATCACTCAAATGGTCATGCAAGGTGTGATTAGAAATAATCGGTGTAACACCCTACCCTATACGTTTTGCCTAATCATATTGTTCATACAGTTGCAGCGGAAATAATCTCGGGTGTTACATTAATTATCAAAATTTACCCAATAAAATTTCGACATGAATTACTCGCGTAATGGGATAACAGTTCTTGCAACTTATCCTGCAAAATAATTCATCACAAACATATAGACTCACAACCATATCCATTGGCTTTTCTTAGCCATAGTCACAGTTTCATACTACACAACTGCATACTATACTGATACATGCTATAATCATCACAACTTACATAATTACACAATATACACATATCATCAACTTTCCACACCTGTGGATATATCACACTACATCAGAAGCTAGTATGCACATGAAAAACGTTCTCAAAACATTTTACAAAAAGGTGTGGATCACTGGCCAAAATCTCAAGTAGTCGTCCAAGCACAGAATAGTTGAAGACCATACCTCATCTTGCCTTCAACTCTTGCTCCTCTCCCACCTAACACCTATCTACTGCTGCTGTTGATGATCTACTTACACATAGCATAAGCAGAGAAGAAGAATAAAGAGGGTCAGCTCATAGCTGAGTGAGATAATCATAGCATCGTGAGTTCATAACAAAGCATACCCCTACCATACATCTAACAATCAAGCCAAAACACTAGGATCAGACCTCAGCCATCCGACATCCCAATAGGCAAAAGACTCAACCACCTTGACTTATGCATATGCGTCTTATCATGTTTTACTTATAGGCGCCTGGCTACTCCCATGCTAATTACTCTCCCGGGAATACGGACCAAACATCTCGTGGATGTGGTCATATCGGACCCACCACTGCCGGTGTAGTCATATCGGACCTGACACCACTATGGGTGTGGTCATATCGGACTCAACACCACTCTGGGTGTGGTCATATCTCATGATGAATCAACGGTCAACACCACATCAGGGGTGTGACATAACATATCATAACGGAGTAATAGCATGGGGAGCCCTAATTACTATGTAATTGACCATGAGACCAAATCACTCTTACTTGATGTCCTTATACATGATCCATATCTCATCTTGCTTAATCATAATTCGTTACTTACACATGTACTTGACCTGACCACAACTGGCTCAACATAGGTAAATCAGGAGTCGTATAATTGCACTTCCTCGGGATAAACCCTCGTGCAAGTCATCCTCCTTAAACATCATAATATCACCAGGGAATATATATTTTCCCACATATGTATCCAAATACAACAATCATGAAAAGTCATACACAATCACCTTCTCGAACCATCATAAAGCATATTAATAGTCTAGCCCACAATTTGTAACATATACACAATCATCAGCATAAACAAGGTCCAAGTCGACTAGGGCAAGTCAATAATATCATACAACAATCCAGGGTTCAACATATAGCACAAAAGTTCATACACCCCTAATCATGCCATTCTAGTTCACCTAAGTCAATTCTAAGCATCAATATAATTATCGTGATACGACAAACCCGGTATGCCGTGCTAATCCCTCACCAGTTCTGGTTGTTCAAACACCGATTTAACCTTCCCGTACTAAAACGTCAATTTCACCAACGAACCCCGAATTAAAATCCGAGACCGTCCTTATATCCCCTGCAGTATCCCCGTCAATATTAGTTCTAGGCTCCGGGTCAAATTCTTGATAAAAACACATCAAACCCTGGCCGGAGCTAAATTCAGCGATCCCGGCTCCGACCTAAATAATAGCCGAAATTCATGGATTAAAACCAGAGGATTAATTACCTCGCTGCAGGAAGCTCGTATATGAAATTTGGGCTCAATCCGGCTTCCGGATACTCCGAAACCCTAATTTGGCTTATCGGGAATTCAAGAAATTCATGATCCAAAAACTCGTTTTAAAGCTCTAAATCGATAAATCACGATGAATAGATGAATTAGGCATTACTTACGGGATTTTTGGATCATAGATGCTCAAGAATTAAGCTCTACAAAATTCTAGCGAGCTCCCCTGAATGCCTCTGCTCGCACTGCTCTCTCGGTACAGAATGAGAAAAGAAAGAAGAATGAAATGGAAAAGAGATGAGAATGGGACGGAAGGTGGGATTAATATATGCGGTCTGCCGCTTAATGTAATTATATATATATATATATAATTAATACGTATATTTATCCGATCGATCGATAATCCGATTTTCGTCGAAATACTATCAAAACGCTCGATTTTAAATCACGAACTTTCTAGCTATCGAGATATGGGTTTTGCCGCAACGGGATGTTACAATCGGATTCCAGGAAGACGAGTTGAGATCTTCCACCAATCATCAGCGTCTCGGTTGATTAGATTTAGAAAGGAAAAACATGGTAGTAGTAGAAGAAGTAGAATTTGACACAGATGGGAAATACCCCCGGATAATCTTTTTTTAATCCGCACCTCCTTACCCTAGTTAAGCTCTAAGGAAATTGTTGGGGGGTGTTGCTAAGGGACTCCCCGCGGAGACTAAGTAATACCGCGTCCAATCGACAACGTATGACGCTCTAAACCCCCTACGAGTATATAAAGGTATGAAACCCACCAAGGAGGGGGACTTCTTCTCTCCCCCCTCACTTTCCACTTTCTACTATCTCTCTACACTTTATCTCTCTATCTATTCTCTCAACTCTCTCCACAAATATACACTGACTTGATCGTCGGAGCTTAATCTGGGGGGCAACCCCGACTCTTTCACAGGTTTCTACCCTCCCGACGAGATCAGACGAATGGATGACGAGTCGACCCACACAACAAATATCATTGTTCGTGTCCTGAGCTAGACACCACAAACAATTGGCGCCCACCGTGGGGCTGATTTGGATTCGTTCGTTTGTTCGCGGAAGAAGGAAGAACTCCGGATCTGAAATGAATACAAAAGCTTCACAAAAAAAAAAAATTCCGAGCCAGAAGCTCCCAGCCGGGAGAGGTCGTCCTCCATGGATGATAAAAGCTCCCACAAATCAATCTCATTTCCTAGCTAGCTCCCACATCCATCTGTGACTCTATCCCCTACAAAGTTCATCCGAAAAAGAAAGAGGAGAGAAAAGCCCCCCCCCCCCCCAAAAAAAAAAAGGGGGCAGTGAAAGGTCAACAATAGTACTTTCTATTCAGTCACCTCAACAGTAAAAAAACAAAAAGAAGAGGAAGCAAAGCCACCTTCTCTCCTGTCAGAGGAAGAGACAGGCGAAGTTCCCAAGAAGCCACCTTCTTCCAGCCTCCTTGCTCCACTCCCGCGTCAAAAAATGGCATCGCCGATGGTCCTCGAACCCGCGCCACTTTTCCGCCAAACAAGTGACATTACTAGCAAGCTACATACGAGCCTTGTGAACCTTTTGGCGTAGCACTCTCATTTTAACAATACTCCGCGTGCAACCTCGGCGTAGCACTCTCATTTTAACAACACTCCGCGTGCAACCTCACACAGAGCCCGCTCAGGCCTTCCCCGCGTGCAAAGCCGGCCCAAACCTCCGCTAGCGGCCCACCTTACCTCTCGCGGCCCAAGTCCTCGATTTCGATCCGCTTAACTCACGGATCGCCAAGACCAAGTAGCGTCCCGCGCTCGCGCCTGGCCCGACGATGCGATCAGTCTCCCGCCCCGCAAGTCAAGCCCGCGTTCAAGGTCCGCTCCACCGCTTTCGGCCGCTCTAGATGAAAAGCCCGCCTTGCATCGCGCGCCCGCACAACTAGCCCGCGAGTGCGCACTCTCAACTCGCGGATCAGGCCCAATGCGCACGTCCCCCGACCTGCCCATCAGACAAGGAGCTCATCAAAAATTATATTGTCACCACCAGGGTTTGAACACGCGCCACCATTCAGCAATACCAGGAAGTCGGCCGCCAGACTACAAGCAAGTCTTGTGTTTCAATTGCGCGGGGTCTGAGTTTTAACTACTCGCGGCCCGCACTCGCGGATCCAAGTCCGCCCGTCCATCCAGTCCCCACTCGCGTATCCGGTCCGCCCGTTCAAGTGCTGCAGTTCGCCAAGCCCAACATTGGGCTGAGCGAGTCAAAAATATTATCACCCCCACCAATACTCGAACCCGCGCCACCACTGCACTACCACAAGCATTCTGACCAGCAGGATACAAGCGACTATTGTGTTTCAATGGCGCGGGGCCAACTTAAAAACCTTCTCCATTCAAGCCCGCAACTTACCAGCCCGGCCCAACATCGGGGTCTATGGTAGCGAGAGCAGCCTCACGCGCGAGCCCAACTCAAATGTTGCTTCAAAAAAAAAGTCGCCGCCATGTCTCGAACCCGCGCACTCATCCGCCAGACAAGCGAGATTACCAGCAGGCTACAAGCGAACCTTGTGTTTCAATGGTGCGGCGGCTGAATTTTAACATTCGCGCCCACTCAGTTCGCAAGAACAAAAAATTAGCAATAGTCCAGCACTATTCGCGCCCATTCAGTTCATAAAGAACAAAAAATAGCAATAGTTCCGCACTATTCGCGCCCATTCAGTTCATAAAGAACAAAAAATAGCAATAGTCCAGCACTATTCGCGCCCATTCAGTTCACAAAGAACAAAAAATAGCAATAGTTCCGCACTATTCGCGTCCATTCAGTTCGCAAGAACAAAAAATAGCAATAGTCACGAACTATTAGCACCCACTCAGTTCGGGGGAAAAAAAACGCAACGCTTCAAACCGCCCGCGTGACTACTCCCTCCGCGAAGTCGACAGCCTGATTTCACTCGTGGCCCAAGCCCATGACCGCACCGCCTCCTCTGCCTCGCGGCCCAAGCCCATGACCGCTCCGCCTCTGCCTCAAAAAATTATTTGTAGGCGCCAGGAATCGAAACAGTGCCACTATCAAACTATGCAACGCACTAACCAGTATGCAACAAGGCTCCATCGGTCACATAAGCGCGGAGCGCTTATTTTAATATCTCCTCACTCGCGATCCATAAGGCCCTCTCCCGTGCGCCAAATGTGTCCGCCAGGCACCAACTCACGACCCTCGTTCAAAGTCCGCCACGTCCGCCCACGTCACCAGCACTCGACGCGCACAAGCCCAACTCGCGGGCGTTCAACAGATCAGCACTCTTCAAAAAAAAAAAAAATGTCGTCGCCGAGAGGATTCGAACCCGCGCCATCACTCCACCTCACAAGCGCTATGACCAATAGGCTACATACGCGCCTTGTGTCTCAATGACGCAACGCCTGATTTTCAACTACTCGTGACCCGCACTGCAAGAGGCTCGACTCGCGCCCCAACAACACATACGCGCCTTGTGCCAAAATAGTGCGACGCGCACAAGACTAACTCGCGGGTCAGCCCTCTTCAAAAATAAATGTCGTCACCGCGAGGATTCGAACCCGCGCCATCACTCCACCTCACAAGCGCTATGACCAATAGGCTACATACGCGCCTTCTGTCTCAATGACGCAACGCCTGATTTTCAACTACTCGCGGCCCGCACTGCAAGAGGCTCGACTCGCGCCCCAACAACACATACGCGCCTTGTGCCAAAATAGTGCGGCGCATTCCACTTAATCAGTATTCTGCCGCCTCTCCAATTTAAAGCTAAGTACTTTATCCATCTATCATTATCAAATATTGAAATATTTTACTCTCATGAGAGTTAATGGCACTAAAGGTGAGGGTTTTTAACCCCGACGAGGAGAACTCCAAACTGAGGGCTAAAAACCCCGACGAGGAGAACTCCAAACTGAGGGTTAAAAACCTCGACGAGGAGAACTCCAAACTGAGGGTTTTTAACCCCGACGAGGAGAACTCCAAACTGAGGGTTAAAAACCCCGACGAGGAGAACTCCAAACTGAGGGTTAAAAACCCCGACGAGGAGAGCTCCAAACTGAGGGTTAAAACCCCGACGAGGAGAACTCCAAACTGAGGGTTAAAAAAAAACACCCCGACGAGGAGAGCTCCATGAAGAATCTGCAATGGGTGAAGGCCACACGCCTTAATGAAATACCCCAACTGGGGGCAAGACGCAAGAAGCTGGCACCGCGTAAATCAAACGCGCCACCAGCTGGGGGGCAACTAGGGTACATAGGGCCCCACCCAAAATTACCGACGAAGATTTAAAAAATAAAATATAAGCTAGTGATGAGTTAAAACTCACCACCAGCTTGGGGGGCAATTGTTGGGGGTGTTGCTAAGGGACTCCCCGCGGAGACTAAGTAATACCGCGTCCAATCGACAACGTATGACGCTCTAAACCCGCTACGAGTATATAAAGGTATGAAACCCACCAAGGAGGGGGACTTCTTCTCTCCCCCCTCACTTTCCACTTTCTACTATCTCTCTACACTTTATCTCTCAATCTATTCTCTCAACTCTCTCCACAAATATACACTGACTTGATCGTCGGAGCTTAATCCGGGGGGCAACCCCGACTCTTTCACAGGTTTCTTCCCTCCTGACGAGATCAGACGAACGGATGACGAGTTGACCCACACAACAAATATCATTGTTCGTGTCCTGAGCTAGATGGCACAAACTGTTGTAATTTTTTTTCCATTTTCTTATTGTTGTCGGGGGAGAAGAAAATTGGTTCCTTTGTTAGAAATTGTGGCTAGAGGGTAAGACTGTCAATTTGATACATTTTAGGGCGACAAAATTTGCATTTTATGACGACGAACAGCGATTCAGCAAATCGCTGGCGATGGGGAACTCTGCCACTCTCATTTGGGACTTGAATGAGGCTTTGCTCTTTGAGAAGGGAATCCCTTCTCCGAATGGCTGCGGAGTTGATGATTTCTCCGATTGCTTGCCGCCGTCTCCCGTCATGTTGTTTGTTTGTTACTCTACTATGTACTAGCTAGTAGCTAGCTAGCTTTGCCTTCGCTTCTCTTTCTATGCCTTTCTCTCTCTGGAGAACTGGAAATGGATTCTTCTTCTTCCGCTTGCCCACTTCTTCTCTAAATCAAGGCTGTGATGATCCACCTAAAGAGAGGTTTTAATCAGACGGCAGCGCTGTTGGGCAAGGCGATCGAGCCAGCATCTAGATGGTTCTCTGATTACGCAGCCAATGGCTGATTGTCGTCCGATAACAATGGCGGATTTCTGAGCCTTTTTAACAAGTTTCTAAAGCCAGAACAGAACACTTTTGGAAGTGCATGGTTTCTTTTCTATTTCTCACCAATGGTAATACAATATCCAGTGATGCAGTTGAAAAAGCTAAGCTTTGACACTCTATATGGCTTGTCCAGTTCAGGGCTCCATAGCTCTGTAACCAAGTAGTTTATCAGCTGCTGCAGTAGCGGGTGAACTGAGCTTATATTGGTACTTTCTAAGTTGGTTTGCTTTGAGTGCAGCTCAATGGACTAACATAAAGATGCAAATACATAGAAGACCTACTTTGAATGTGACCAAAATACCATTCACAGAAACAAATCGATGTGATAGGTAAAGGAAGAAACTTGTTTGATGAATCAATTAAACAGTGCTTACAAATGGTTTTGTGAACCTCTCAAAAATGAAGAGCTGCACTTCTCAACAACAGAGAACGAAACAAAAGCTCCACTTTTAAGGCAACTAACTGCTTGTTGAATTTAAGCCATATGGGAGACCAAGAAATGCGAACTATAACCTTGTTCTTTTCGCCAACAGACAAAAGGAGAAGCTTCCCATCAACTATGTCTTCATTCTAGATTCTCTTACTCTCCTCATCAACTCTGCTATTGTTCAGGTACAAACCTCCTTGCTTCATCAACCTCCTAGCTGCCGATTTGCTTTCCAACAAACCAGAAGACACTGAGAGATCAACGACCGACAGATCGACAACTTCATTATATGCCATGGAACAGGAAGGCACATCCTCAACAATCCCTTCAATCCAACTTAGTCTCGGCTCCAGGCCTCAAAGCCTCAGCAGCCTTGATCGCCTCTCGAAGGCCTTCTTCGCCATGGACAAATCGAGTCAACTCTTCTGCAAGCAGCTTCTGTGCAGTGTTTGGCAAGTAACCCGGACTCTGCATCTGCAATTCCATCTCATCTACCACCTTCATGTCGAGGAAAGTCAGCATCTTGAGAAACTTGATCACATTGGAATCAGGAACTGAGAACAAGTGCTGGTAAGGAGACAGCATTGCAGAGGACAACCAAATGGCTCCATCCTCAGATTTCCCAAATTTGGTCCCGTCGCTCTTGAGCAGGAGAGGGAAAGTTAAGCCGAACCCTCCTTCGCCTTCCTTCGGCTGAAGGGTTCTCCTAATGAGATCAGTTCCTGCCGTAATGTTCCCCCACTGATCACTGCCTCCAATATGAACATTCACTCCATGGTTCTGGAAGAGGTAGAGAAAATCATAGCCCTGTAATAGCTGGTAACTGAACTCCGTGTAGCTCATTCCTTGTTCGGATTCAAGCCTCTTCTTCACGCTCTCTTTAGCAACCATGGTTCCTACCCTAGCGTATCTCCCTACCTGTTTGAGAAAATCCAGCAATTTGAACTCCTTCCACCAATCGTAATTGTTCATAACCACGAAAGAGGTTGTCGAATTGCTCGAATTCAGGATTCTGGTTACGATATTGGCTATCCCTAAGGTGTTTCTCTCGAGGGTTTCCACGTCCAGCTCGGGCCGCTCGAGGCTTTTTCTCGAGGGATTGCCGATTCAGGCGGTGGCGCCGCCGATAAGCGCGACGACTCTATGGCCGCAGCGGTGGAACCAGGAGAGGACTAGGATACCGAGGAGGTTGCCTAAATGCAAGCTCTCGGCGGTGGGATCGAAGCCACAGTAAACCCTAAGTGGAGAAGATTCTGAATTGGAGGAAACCGACCTGAGATTGTCGCTGGTGAGGGATTCCAGCAAACCTCTTTCCTCCAATATGTCAATTACATTGCGGCCCGATTTCCTTCGAAACGGAGGTCGTTATCCCCGTGGCGGTGGAAATTTCTTCGGCTGATTGTACGCAGCGGATCGTCGAGAACAGGCGAACCTTCCCGCCGTGGCAGTTGCACCTAACGCTGCTGGCGTGAAGATTTAAGAAGGCTGGAACAGTAAAGGTGAACCTTTGATGGAAGGAAGAGAGCAGCGTCCTGGGAGATACCGCCGCCGTTGCGGCCATTGCAAACTAGCTTGAGTTGAATAGAGGAATCGGCCAGGCGCCGGCTTCAAGGAAGTCTCAGTTCGATTCTCCCCTCTTCCATTTCCATCCTCAGTCGCTAGTTCCTCATCCTGCTGTTGCAGAGAGGGGTATTAGTGTCATTACAATTTACATCAGGCTTCTTGGGCCATGCAGGTCTCCGGCCCAATATTTATTTAGGCTTCGTTTTTTTCGCGCCCGTTTATTGTTGGGCTGCAAGCCTGCAATCGGAATTTCCCGCTCTATCCATCTAAATCCAATAACTACCACTACCGGTCAACTCCGATCGCGCCACGGAAAAGACGGATACGTTTTTACAAATTAATTATTCATCATCGTAAAATTTAAATTCCTTACGTTAATACATTTTTACTGTTATCTGATGTTTTGGTGTAAAGTTAATTGAAACGATCCATATGGAAGTTACAAACTTTTGCTACAACAAGCAAGAGCAAGAAACGGAAGAGACCGACATTGGGTAAGAGTAAGTGTTGGCGTAGTCAAAGCTGACCAACCGGCCGGCGGCGAGAGGCCGGCCATCGTTGACGAGGCAGTCGTTGTAGGCAAGGCGTCGGAACTTGTTGGGCACGACCAATTTGGCGGATGAGAACCAGCCGTAGGTGACGTGGATGTCGGAGATGCTACAATCGCCGGTGTTCAATATCTCCACCGCGTAGGTTGGGATCTGTTGATGTGACTTGAATCAGACTATCAGCCGCTACGACTGGTAGTCGGGGGTCTCGCTGTTATTTGGGCTCAATGTTATTTGGGTTCGGGTTCTGGGCTTGGTCTGTAACCGTTTCCTTTGCCAGATTGGATTAGGTTTAGACCCACATGGAGAAGTACTATAAATACTTCTCATACTCCTATGTAATCTGTAATCTCCTCGATATAGTGAAACTGGCTCTCTCTCGCCCGTGGACGTAGCTAACACACATCGTTTTAGTGAACCACGTAAATCGTGTGTCGTGTTTTCGATTCTCGCTTTCGTATTATTGCTTTATCGATTCCGGCGATTTCCCGATCCGTAGCAGCGCGTTTATAATAAGTGGTATCAAAGCCGCGGCTGGAAATCAGGCTAGGGTTTTTTCGATTCAGAAGAATGACGTCGGTGAACATGAAGATCGAAAAGTTCACGGGGAAGAACAGTTTCACTATATGGCAGATCAAGATGCAGGCTTTATTAAAACAGCAAGGGCTGTGGGGACCGCTGTCTGCGAAACAGAAGAAGGCAGCGGTCGATGACGATGAGTGGAATACCCTGGAGGAGAAGGCCCACTCGACCATCATGCTATCGTTGTCTGATGACGTCATCATTGAAGTCGCTGCTGAGAAGACTGCCGCGAGCTTGTGGTTAAAGTTGGAGAGTCTGTATATGACGAAGTCCTTAACCAACAAGCTGCATCTCAAGCAACGGTTGTTCATCTTGAGGATGCAAGAAGGTACGCCTTTGAGGGAACATCTCGAACAGCTTAACTCTATTTTGCCGGATCTGCGTAATATAGATGTTCAAGTTGATGACGAGGATGCTGCCCTAATCCTACTGGTTTCTTTGCCGAGTTCATATGAGCATTTGTTGATTCTTTTATTGCTGGTAAAGAAAGCGTGTCGTTGGAGGATGTCAGGTCTGCTCTTCATACGAGAGAGATCAGGCATAAGGCGTCTGGATCTGGTACAGGTGGCGAGGCATCGAGTTTGGCTATTACAGGTGGAAAGGGAAAGAAGAAATCTGGTAAAGGGAATTCAAACAAGAATTTCAAGGGTCCCGATCCACAGACAGGTGATGCTTGTCACAACTGTAAGGAAGTGGGGCATTGGAAGTACAACTGTCCCAAGACAAGAGGGCAACAGAAGAAACAAGGTTCAGTTGTCGTGGCAGAAATGGACAACAGTTCTGAAGACGATCTCGCCTTGGCTGTAGATGAGAAGGCACATCGTGGGGATGTGTGGTTTCTGGATACTGCAGCCTCATTCCATATGTCTCCAAACAGGGATTGCTTCACAACCTACGAGCAGATAGATGGTGGTAACATGGTCATGGCAAACGCAGCTGTCTGCAAGGTTGTTGGAATCAGGTCGATAAAGGTTCGGACACATGATGGTTCATTCTGTACCGTGAATGATGTCAGACATGTTCCACGAATGACAAAGAACCTGATCTCCTTGAGTCTACTCGGCAGCAAGGGCTTCAGTTTCAAAGGAAAAGGTGGAGTTGTGTATGTCTGCAAAGGTTCAAGGAAGGTGCTGAAGGGCGTGAAGCGTGGGACCTTGTATGCATTACAAGGGTCTTTGTTGTCTGGTTCTGCTGCAGTTGCATCATCTCAGGTTCATCAGGAAGATATGACCACTCTCTGGCACATGAGACTAGGGCATATGAGTGAACGAGGGATGCAAGTTCTGTCGAAGAGGGATCTTCTTTGCGGGCACAAGGTGCAGAATTTGGAATTCTGCGAGCATTATGTGTTTGGGAAGCTACATCGCAGCAAGTTTCCCAAGAAGGGTATCCACCGGACGAAGGGGATACTGGATTACCTCCACTCCGACTGTTGGGGTCCTTCACGAGTTGAATCCATTGGAGGCAGTAGGTATTTTCTGTCTATTATTGATGATTATTCGAGATTTACTTGGATTTTCATGATGAAGCAGAAAAGTGAGGCTTTCACGAAGTTCAAGCAGTGGAAGACATTGGTGGAGAATCAGACGGGGAAGAAGATCAAGAAGCTGCGAACAGACAATGGTCTTGAGTTCTGTAATTCTGAGTTCAACGAATTCTGCAAGAATGAAGGGATTGCCCGTTGATGACTCGATATTTGCACATGTTTTCCCCTGTGTTTCTTGATCGTTTGAGCTTTAATTATCGTGTATTTGGCCTATTTTACGCTATGTTGTGTTCCTTTGTCACATTTCAGGTCCTAGCACATAAAGTGAAGCATAGGCGCAAGTTTCAAGTCAATCAGAGATCAATTGGCGATTCGGGAGAAGAAACTCGGGCATGACCTGAAGAAGAATGGATTTCTACCTCACTTTATGGACAAAGAATCATGCAAGTTTGTCATGAAAAGAAAGAGGACGAGACTACGAGCGTCTGGGATCAAACGGCGACTGATTCGGAGTCCGGACGAGGGAGAAACGAAGCATTGAATAGAGGGGAGCAGGTTCGGCAGTAAAAACACGGGCGCGCCTAAATCAAAACACGGCCGTGCCCATATTTAGGCACGACCGTGTTTTGGCTGACGCGCGTGGGCGTGTTTTTAACACGGGGCAAAACACGGGCGAGCAAAAGCAAAGCACGGTCGTGCCCGCGACCGTGTTTTGCCCAGAATCGGGTTTTTTAACCCAAATTCGAGCAAAAGGAGAGGGAGAGCTGGGTTTTGGATCCCAAACACCCAAGGGACGAACCAAAGAGAGAGGGCGATTTGAGGGCATTCTTGGAGTGGAATTGGAGGATTTCTTCGCCTTGGAAGCTCGAGGAACAAGCCCGGACTTGAAGACTGATCATCTTAAGATTCTTACTGCATTCTCTCTCTTCTCTATGGAGTAACTTCCCTTCACTTAGGTTTTGAGGAACCCTAGCCATGTTTGTTTGATTGGATGATTGTATGAGTACTCCTGCTTGATAATCTTGAGTTCATATTCAATCTATGCATGTTTTCATGATTCAATTCTGCTTTAGTCGAGGTTATTGATTCTGCTTTGATCCTATGAGAGCGAATACCTGATTAGGTCAATAGAGCACCATAGATTGATAGTATTGGATGAACTGCTTTAGTCGAGGGTTGATTCACTGCTTTGTATCGATTGAGAACCTCTTTCGATAGAGGGAGTCTAGTTCAGAACGCCTTGATCGGTTGTTCTAGAGAAGGATACGTCCCTCTAGGCAATTGACTCAAGAGGGCCTTGTTTCTTTAGTCGAGACTCAAGGTCTAGTTAAGGATTCTCTGCATTGTGAATGAAAGTGAAACAAGTTAGAGATCATCAATCGTTAATCTGGCTAGTGGCTAGGGGGAATCATACCTAAGTGAGTTCCCAACCTGTAATTAGATTAACTTTAACTGTAGTTTGTTAGAGTAGTTTTAGTTTTTCCATCTTAATCTGGTTTGCTAGATAATGAACTGAAGCTGAGTAATAGTAACTCTAGAGACCTGTGGATTCGATATTTATTACTTGAGCCACTATACTGCAGTCCCTTTCATTGGTTACACTTGGTCATTGTTAGGAGTTGTGTCATAGCGAGTCAAGTTTTTGGCGCCGTTGCCGGGGACTTTCTAGATTATTAGGAAAGGCAGAAGTTTGTTACTTTAGCGTTTTTCTTTTCTTTTCTTTTCCACCCTTGCTTTTCACTTGGGTGTTTTTGTTTTTGTTGGTGCAGATCTGAATCATGGATCCTCATGGCTTCTCCAATCATTGGGGGTATCCACCACCGTCCGAGTGGTATTACCCCGAGACCCCCTGGAGCAATCAAGGAAGAGAAGACTATGGATCCGGGTTCCAGTACCAACCCCCTTACTACGGAGAACAATCTGACCCCTGGGCATATCAAGAACAATCTCATTACCAAGAAGACTTTCTCCCACAAACAGAAGGGCCATCGGAGCTGGAGTTACCCATGGCGGCCTTCACGGGCCATTCTGCAGAGCCATGCTACACTCCACAGCCAGATCCAAACTATGAATTGAGACTTCTCATGGAGCAGTTTGCTCGAGACAGTGAGAGATCATGTGTCAAGATGGATCTTTGTACCCAGGCCTTTCGTGAAACAGAGGAGATCCTCCTGAGCCTTAAGAAGAGCGTCGATGATCTTGAGCGATCTTGTGCACAACCTGCTCCAAATCACCCTTCTGCTACCATACTACAAGAGGAGGAGGAAGAAGAAGGCTACAAGGACATTGTGGAGCACACTGAAGTTGTCACGGAGAGCTCCTATGATGATCATGATCAGGAATGTCCTGTCGTAGCCGACCACACCTTCCCACATCCCAAACTGAGCTTTGAAGAGGCGGGCATGAGTGAGGAGATGCAAGAAGATCTCATGAAAGAAATTGTTTGGCAACTTGCTCTCCAATCCGTGCTAGAAGCAGAAGAGCAAGAAAGGGTGCAGAAAGAAGTTGTGGAGGATGACGAAAGTGAAGCAGGAGGAGTTCTTGATCATTTCCCAGGGGTGATACCACATGAAGAAGAAAGGGAGGTTGAAGAAGCAATTGGCGTCCAGGCTGAGGACGGAGTTAAGGTGGAAGAGGCTTGCACCGGCCATGAGTTGCAAGTAATATCCCCACCAAACTTCGAGGAACTGCTTAGCAAGGACCCATTTGCAGTGTCTCTTTGCCAGACCAAGGCCACATCGACATTGGTTCCTCTTGGTGGACGCGATGGTGGCCAATCGATGCTGTCATATCTGGTTTGGAGCAATGAGACGAGAGAAGAGAAGAAGAGGTCTAGAGGGTGGAGACTTCATCTGCATCAAGTGCATGAGCCTTCATCACCTGCCACACCACATGCTCGTGACTTGAGACTCCACCTCATTGACGAGAACCTCAACTTCAAGGAGGTTTTGGGGTGGACCTAAATTTAGGAGCCATCATTCGGCTCACGACGTGAAAGAAGCGCTTGTTGGGAGGCAACCCAACCATTCGGTTTGCATTTCTTTCCCTATTTCTCTTCGGTTGAGTCAGTTTTGTTCTTTGATTTTAGAGTCAATAA